GTTTTAAATGTTTTGCATCCCTATTTTTCTGACATTTAAACACGTTGCTACATCTTGACACATATAGGGACCAGCCAACCAAAGCTGAGCAGACTGGCTGCTGATGGAGTGGATATGGAGGAAGGGATATCATCGAAACGGACTGGGTTTTCCCAAGATTCTATGCAGCTCTGGAGACATGAGGAAAGGTTTTTCTGCACTACCGTCATTCCTCTCCAAGTCATCACCTGGTTGGCCCAATAAATGGATGGATGGATCAAGAGAAAGCATGGGAGGATAAGCAGGGATTAATGAAGGGAAAGATGGATGGAATTGGGGAGAATCAATGGTTGAGATTGAGGTTCAACGTCACATAAACATATATGGAGGGGAGGAAGAAGAGCAGGACAGCAGGGTGATAATAAATGAAGAGGAAACAAGGAGAGAAGCAGAGGTTAGTGCTGTTAAACAGCTTGGTGTAAAAGAGATGAAAAACGCTATAAGATTTGGTCAAATCAGAGCAGTTGTAGAATGTGTGACTTGTTGAAACATAGGCTGAAACATCCAATCAAAGCATAAGAGGAAAGCATGTATCAGTAATATTTTGAAAAGAAAATTCAAGGTATTTTAACACATTAACCATTTAAACCGTGTGTGATTTTCCTGCTAAATTAGGCTACTGATAAGTTCCAAAGGGCACATCAGTGGTACTGTAAATGTTCAAAGACAATTGTAATGAAAAACAGTTACACAGTTTAAAATAGTTTGTGTGTTTCTTGTCAGGTCCAATGGTTTACATCACACAGTAAATAAGTATATCTATATGTGATTGGACTCATTTTGACACTGAAAAACTGTTCATTCTGGATGGAGATACCACTATAATTGCATAAGACTAATTGGCACTGTTTTCAGTGTAGGGGTGTCACCGATGATAATACCGCGTAAACTAATTTTTATCAAAGTCTAATTAAAATTTTCCCACGAGAATTGTTATCACTTTGAGATCTATCTGCATAATCTTGTCGCTATAAGTATGTTGTGGTATTTTGTTGTTGCATATTGTTGTCTTCTGAAAATAACTAATTTGCAGAGAATGACTAAAACAAACTATAAATAAATTATGGATATGTTACACACCTTGTTACGCTTACTAAGTGCACTGTTTCCTTTGGTGTGAAGGTTTCATAAATTGAATACTTAATTTTAATTTAAAAATAAAGTATGTAAAACATAGTTATCTACATGAGCAGCTTGATGGTGTGGTGGTTAGCACTGTTGCCTCACAGCAAGAAGGTTCCCTGTCCCAGAGATATGCAGATATGGGCTAAGTGAATTGAAGACCCTAAATTGACCATAGCTGTGAATTTGGCCCTCAAAAGATAAAGTGGTATATATATTTTGTTTTATTAATATGGTGCCATTACAACCATTGGAACATGTTAAACCAGTTTGTTTTCAGTTGACAGTATGAATTGATATAGGTATGTTCTGTACTTGGAAACACAATGACAGTATTGTACTTACAGAAGCAGAGGAAGAGTGTTTCCACACAAATGGCATAGACGCTGAAGAATCCGTGTGCAATCAGGTAGGCGCCAATCACCACAGTCTAATGTGAGAGATATACTTCAGAGAAGCTACAACAGGGCTGAGGGGCTGCTCTGATGGCAGATCTCATCATGATAAGAAAGCTTAAACATAATCTTTTTGAATTCTTATTACAGGGTTTCTGCAGGTACCAGCAAATCTAATTTAATGCTTTTTAATGCCCTTTTTAATGCCATTTCAAACATTTTTAATGCCCATGACTAACTGCAAATACTATACCTGTGCATACTTACCTATATACACACACACAAAATATCCATATCCAACTCTGAATTAAATTGCAAGCATTTCATATGACAATGATAATATAAGATATTTGAGAATCTAAATAATTGACATAAACTGTCACTCTATAAAGAATTTTCAGTTCAAGGCATTTGTTCTTGTATCTCCTCATTAGAGTATTAGATTTTGTGATCATCTGAGCCATGAGTGTGCCAGATTTGTTTTCGGCCTTCTCAGTGAGTTGATCAGCATCCTTCTGAAGGCTGGCGCACATCTCTGTCAGCACTGCCTTTTTCTTTTTCAGTTCTCCCAGCTCATCTTCCAATGCTTTTTTCTTAAGTCCGTGCATGGCTCCTTTTTTCGTCAAGGTAGATCCTATATCTGAAGTATTTTTTAAATTTTTTGATTCCTCTGGAAATCTGATTTAATGCTTTTTAATGCCATTGAGGCCTTAATTTTAGCAAAATGTATTTAATGACTTTTAATGCTTTTTAATGACCTGCAGAAACCCTGTATTAGTTTTGAATAAACATGCTCCAAAATAGAAATAATCTAACCCAGACACTGTTGGGTGTTGTTTTTACACAAATCAACACTGACCTGGTAGGTTCCTATGTGTGGCTCAAAACCATAGGACATTTTATTTGGTCCTCACAAGTTCAAATGTTTAAGACTAGATTTAAGGGTTCACCTAAGAATCAGTTTTAGGTTAATGTTTAGACATTTAATATAGAAAGAGAGAAAAAGAGAGAAAGAGAAAGAGAGAGAGAGAGAGAGAGAGAGAGAGAGAGAGAGAGAGAGAGAGAGAGAGAGAGAGTCTGACCAGTAGGGGGACCCAATAGTAGTTGAGATGGGGTACTTCTTCCTGGATAACAGGGATCTTCCTAGTGAAGAAGTAGAAGGCAACTGCGCCTGTAAAACACACACATACACACACACACATGCACGCACGCACATACAAACATACACCTTAAGATGCAGCTATAACACATCATCACTGTCAACTGACTATTTAAACTGTAACATTTAACCTGAGCATGGTATGACTGATGCAAGACTTTACTTACCAACTCCTCCTGCTATCAGCAATTTGCCCAGAAACAACAGGAAATCTGTCACTCTGTCTAGAACTGCAACCCTGTTGGAGGAGTGAGAAATTTCAGCCTGACCACTCGTCTAACACATGATCCACACGGTGAAAATCAGCACAGACATGACCTCTGCTTATAGTCTGAAATTAAGCTAAATCAGGATAAAATAGCGTAGAACATCATTTGGATTTAGAGTCTGCACAGTAGTGGACGTGGTGTCAAGGTCCCACCGAAACACACTCTCAACCAATTGCGAGTCAGTTTAAGCTGTCAATCATTCCTCTTCAGCAGGTTTTTATAGCTTAAAATAACAAATTCAAACCAATCACAAACCGACCGAAATCGTCTTTGGGAAAACTTATTCAACATGTACTTTCATGTCCCATCTGCTAACCAGTACTGCAGCAAATCAAGATGATTTGGCTTCCCTATTGCAGAGTTGTGTGTCATGTCATCCATCATTATATACAGTCTATAGTTGAAAGCAACACACAGGATCACTTATCCTAAACAGCAAAATGCATCCACACCAAAAACCGAGGCAAGTGAACTGATCTCCTTACCTGACCACATTTCTCATCAGTAGGAAGAAGGCCTCTTTGGCTGAGGTACAGAAATTTTTACCATAGATCGCCACCTGGTGGAAAAAAAGACAAAACAGTGGTCCCAGCAACAAGAGACTGTTGATATTGTTGTTGACAAAATGAACAGTGCATCGGTGCTATTCATAATACTCCTGCTAAAAAAGGTTTGTTTGTCTTCAACCAGCTTACCATGATATAAGCATTATGGTTCAAGTAGCGAATTAATTTCTCCAGACCCCAGAAACAGCATTTTAGACAGCACATCATGAACCGGGACAGGCTGTTGTCAATACCTGCAAGGATAAAAGCAGAGCACCATTTCAGTGATTGTAGTAGCAGTTATAGAAGTAGGGAAGTAAGGAGAAACTGTGTCTGAGTCTACATGTCTACATTTAGCTCAAAACAATCCTTGAGAGGATATTTTGGTCAGTCCTCATGATTTTTAAGGGCTGTTTGAGAGTTGAGACTTTATTTTAGTGTCGAAGTCAGAAGGAGGGCAAGCTAGGGTATTACTTCACCATATAGACCTATACGTGTGTGTGTGTGTGTGTGTGTGTGTGTATGTGTGTAATTGTAAACCTTTTAGTTTCTGCTCTAGGTATTCCAGGATGATCCGCAGAAGTTGGACAACTGAAAGAATTAAAGCGCCAAAAGCTAGAGACCCTATATGATACCTGCAGATAGACAAACACAAGACTCTTATTTCCAGCTTTGGATTAGACCAATTTGTTTCCATACAGTCTGACAGACGATGGTCCTGAGAGAATGTCCTGACCTGACAGCCCTAATGAATGACAGCAAGAGTGGACATGCTGGGATATCCTGAGGCTTCCTCTTGGCCCAATAGTAGTTTGCAAATGTCCCTGCCAGGGTGCACTGCTCCAGGGCCAGACTGAAGTTGACCAGCCAGAGGAAGACAAGTAGGTTGAACAGCTGCAAAAGGAAGAGGTAGCGGTGGTAGGACGTCTCCCCACCGTAGAAGGCAAACTGACACTGAGAACCCAGACACAACACTGATGTGGAGATGTTGGTTCTGTTGAAGGTCTGGCAGAGACGTGAGGGGAGAACACAGGGCAGTCTCTCAGTGAATGTATGTAATGCACATCTCAGCCATTAATATATTATTATTTATAGTGTGGAGACTGAGGGTGTGTGTTGTCTTAATGTGAACGGTTGCACAAGACACACCATATACCTTTCCTACAGTATGTGCAAATATGAATGTATTAAAATATAAATAATATCTTTCTAATAGTTTGTTGCAACTTCTTGTCCAATAAATATAGTCACTGACAGAGACAGAGCTTTATTGGATGAACTTTACTTATTAATGATTTTGCAGCAGGTCAATTACATTCACTAGCGAAAAAATGTAATACATTTTGCCTCCTGTCTTCAGGACATGCGTTTAGCAAATGTGTTTTTGAGCTTTACAAAGCTTTACCAAATTTCACAGAGTTTATGTTGCTGCCTTTTTTCAAAGGTGAAAAGTCTGATGTATACAGCATGAGCCAAGAAACAAAATTTCTAGCTGCTTTCTTGACATTTTATCAGTGTAAATGGGCTGTAGATATCTTGGAAATATGGAAAAATGCAGTTTGACTGTTCAGTTTCCTGAATGGTCCTAACACCTTTATGAATCCGCTCACTTCTAAATATTGTATATGACAATTTTGACTACAAAAGGCAAAGCGATAAAGAAACTAAATCAAACACAATATATTGTACCTCAGGATTGCATGTACTGTTGGTGTAGGGGCAGCTCACATAAGGAGACATCACTTTGTAGATGGCTTCACCTGAGGATGCAAGATAACTGGATTCACAGTGCTGGTTAAAGAGCCATCTGATAGGCTGGTTGGACAGCTAATGATATAAAAATCCAAAAACACTGCATATGAAAATTGGTGTGAGTCCTTCAAATAAATCACTAAGCTCTGAACAAGAAATGTTGTAATGTGAATGAAGGATACACGGCAGTAACTGCCCAGTAGGAGACACACACAGTCAACAAGAGGAAGGTGACAACTGGAAAGAGCAGTGTGGACATGATGTGACCGATAGCTCTGCAAGATCAGATCAAGAAAACAACCATCACCATAATGCAGATTAAAAAATGCGAATAATTTGTCATTTTTTAATGATTTTTCATCATACTTGCTGGCCTCTCTGAGCAGGGCAATGGCCACTCGGACTCGTCTCCTTAGGAAGATCAACATTGTCAAGATGGAAGCTTCAGTCACTGCCAGAGACACCACTGACAAAAACAAATGTATTTGCATCAAATTATTTGATTAACATTAAACATATTTTGTGACCGTCTTCTGAATAACTACAGCTACCTTCTAAGTTAAACAACAGAGACAAATGTAGGCCCATGCAAATGATTATACTGTATGTATTTTATTATATCATTGGAAATGATTAGACTAGAAACATTTTTTTTTATGAAGTCACAGGCATTGTTTCAAATAAATCAGTTTTTAAATAAATTCTGTAATAAAGTTACAACTTCTTGCAGTGTTGTTGCAAACAAAACGACATGAGTAAAGCAGACTGGTCTAATCACAAGTGCTGCTTCTCAGTCTTTTGAAGAGTGTGTGTTGGTGTTAAATGATACTTCAGTCCCATTAAAATGAAAAAATGATGGACACTGAAAAGAAATCACATTGGAAACAAAATATATAAATAAAGTATTTGTTTTATTGGCACTTCTGAGCAGTCCCTCTCTGCAGTCAGTTGCATTAAACAGGATTGAATTTGAACTGTGCAAGAAGGAAGACAACATCAACATTTGATTTCTTGTTTAACTGTATAAGGTGATTAGATTGATACATATGTGCTGCTCAGTCACCAAAGTGATGGAGAGAGAGCACATGAACTCATCTTACTTTAAAGAAAAGGGATCTTCTCCAGAGTTGTACCTTGTACCTGAGATGTGAAGTTCTTAAGCTAGGATCATAATTTAATGGTACAGTGTGTAGAATTTTGTGATATCTAGTGTTGAAATTGCATGTTGCAGCTGAACATCCCTCACCTCACCCTCACCTTCCAAACATGAAAAAGAATCTGTGGTAGACTTCAGTTGTCATAAAAACTCAAAAGGTTTTTAGTTTGTCCAGTCTGGACTAATGTAAAAAACATGACGGCCTCCGTAGAGAATGTCCCCTCAATGTAAATATAAAGTATTTAAATATACAGGGCCTTATCTGGGATAAATAAAACTACAATTCATACAATTTAGATGAAAAGAACTAGTGAAAAGATCATGAGGATTATTCTACATTAAATTTCTGCCAATAGTTCCCTTTCACCAAAATCTTACACACTGGACCTTTAAGAACACTGAAACTACACAAAAGTTTTCTTATGAGCAGTTTCTATTCCTAATTCTGACGAAACACAGACTCACATAATATGATCCATGTCTGTCTGAGTTGTAAGTAGACCTGTAGGTCAGTCTGCAAGCCGACCTCTGTAATGGCAACATCAGAGCCTGGTGTGTGTTTGAGCTGGGACCAGACCATAGAGCAGTACCAAATACCTGTACACACACATGCACACACACACACACACACACACACACA